CATGGAATTTGAACTAAATACCCAATAAATATTTGCATTAAGCTATTATAGTTAAATCTTAACATAATATTCGAGAAAAATCCATCACCAGATGCAAAGTAATAAATATTAGTACTAAACAAAAGAAACACCACCAGAATGGAGGTTTCCTAAGCTTCTGAAGTCCACGTGAGATGCATTGCGTTCAAGTCACTCGTGCTCTGGCTTGTTGGCTTGAGTGATGTTAAATACAGCTTTTTTAACTTGACAGTCTTGCTTTCTCCTGCTACCACCGAGAAGGCCAACATCTGCTTCAGAATCTTCTGCAATTGGGTCCAGAATTTCTTGGAAAGCTCATCTTCCTTGGAAATGTGACGGCCTTCAAGAAAACGAGACAAAGCTGACTCAAGCACCTGAAACTAAACGAAGAAGAAGATCAACTACAGCATCATACAATTCACTTTGTCAATTTGATCATCAAGTCTTTGGATCGAGCACTTACAGTGTTTGCTTGGCGTGGAAGGCTCAAGGAAAGATCGGTTCTCTCTATTAGGACTTCCACAAATTCAGAGGGATAATTCTCAGGGCCATACCTTCCCATTGATGTATCCCACATCGCATCTGCCATCAAAGCGTATTGATTGGCTTCCTCAAGTGAAGGAGCACTTCCTTCACGCCTCCTTAAGCAGCATTGTTCATAGAGATACAACGCTAACTGACGGTAAGCGGCTCCGGTATACTTGTTACGAACTTCCCCAAGAGATTTGTACAAAGATTTTGTCTTCTGTATAAGATCACTTGCAGACAAAGGATCGACAGAAGAATGATCAGAGAGAAGAGCTGCAGGGACGGTTGTATCTTCCTTAACCAAAATCCGTCCAAGTAAAACATATGTCATACCTAGCTCTGTGTAGACCTTTGATTTCAGTTCTTCAGGAATTAAAATACTCTTTTCAATGGCAAGATCAATCTCTTTCTTTGCTTCCAAGTAGAACCTAAGTGAACAGCAATACTCTGATATTGTAGTCCCCACTGCTTCCTTACGAGCTTTGTTATTACGCTTACTTTCCATCTTCAGCACCATTTCTTCTGCCAAATTTCGCCGCGTGAAAGCCATGTTCACTATGATTAGTATCATACTAGCATAATCACTCATTTTCCTGCAAGCCTCAATAGCATTAGCATAGGCATCTTCAGCTTTCTTCAGATTTTTACTCGAGAGATGGATCCGACCAACTTCATTCCATACCCACATTTTCCTCCTAACAACACCCTGAAGCTCATTACAACCTCTTGTAACCTTTTCTAATGCTCTTTCCGTTTCCTCAAAACAATATAAGGCAGCCCGCAGATTGCTTTCTGCATCATCCTTCTTAGATTTGTTGACATACTTGAATATTCCGCCTCTAGCTTTGTCGGTTAACTTCTTAGCCTTAGCCTTCCTGATATGAGCCACACAGTTGCAATTAAACAATGCACATGAGCCACACCTATCACTGGGTGCTAACTTCTTCTCCAACCTTTCCACTTCTTCTGCTACTTCAGATGGCAATTCTAGTGGACTGAGATTCTGCTTTTCGCCTTGATTGGTAGATTTCCCATGTACTTGTTTGGATTCATATTCAAACACATAAACTTCACCAACCAGCAACCAAACTTTAGCCCAGAAGAGACGTCTTGATGAAAGTTCCTCCCTGAGACTGACATCACATGCCCCTTTCAAGTCTTCTATCACGGAAAACGACTCTGACTGCATGGGAAAAGACTTTGACTGCAGAGAGAAGGACGTGTACAAGGTAGAAACAAACAGCGTCTCCTCGTACTTGTGTGGCATTGACCCATAAGTGGAGCAAGCTAGCTTTACAGTGTCCAAAGCTTGGGGGAACTGTCCATTGTCTTTGTAAGCTTGCCCCAGAGAGAGATATGACTCACCAAGTAGAAGAATGAGGTTCCACACTTTCTTGTCTAGCTTAGATGTCCGAAGCCACTGACGGATATCACCCTGAAGTTTCTGCGTCGACTTTATAGCTTGAGAAACATGGTGAACTGCTGCTAGTTTCGATGAAATTCGAGTGGTTGTAGTCTGAAGCAGAGGCGCAGGATCTTGGCATACAGAACCAATATCGAGACCAGTACCTGCAGTGGAGTTCATAACAGAGTTATTAATAGCTGGACTAGCTGAACGCAAGGGTTCCTTGCAAGAAACTGAGTAATTTTCGGTCGGTGTAACTTGTCCTCCGACAAAGTCACTGCCTCACTTTTATGGTCAACATGATCAAGTGATTCCTCGTCTAAGTCTGCTATTTTGAATTTACCTTGCACGTTGTTAGACTCAGAAGTAAGATCCAACTCCTCTTCATTATTCAGAATGAGCCTTGCAAACTGCTCGTGTGCACATGCCCGAACAACCTATCCAGCATGGTGTCACTAATTAGTACGCATCAAAGTTTCAAAGAGAAAACAAGTCAATGATATTAAGAAAAACAACAATCTCAAACAAGACAAATACCAGTGGCAATGGACTTTCGCCTAAAGGGGGTTTCTTTGAAGCAGTGGACAGATCAAAGAGACTAATCTTTCCTTCACCAGCGCTTTTGTAGAGCTGAAAAGGACAATCAAATCAACATAAGTAATGACATCAACTAGTGATAATCCCAACAAAAGATGTAATAGTTTGGCAGAGAATTATAACGTTACCCAGTAGACTCCAGGATCCTCTTTGCAATTTGATAGAAGATACCTTAGAACAGCAATACCGTTTTGCTGAGCAACCTGAGGGTCAAAGGCAGGTGTCTCCCCAGAGAGATCAGCAGCTGATAAAAGTTCATACCCTTGGACAACACTCTTGTCATGACAAGAAAATGCAAGTTCGGGCACATTGGCCATCACATTATCAAGCCAAGCTTCAAGCCAGGTTAAAGGTGTAACCTGTGCGAAAAGAGAAGGATTAGCAAAGAGTCTACTACTTTATGCGCCATATTTACTGAAAAGATGAAAAAGCAACACTTAACTTGCGTAGGATCTGACAAGTGCAAGCTATCTGCATACTTTTGAATCATGTTTTTAACCGTGGGTTTCTCTTCAGGTTCAGACAAGACTATAGTCTGTCCTAACCGGTGAACCGCTATGGAGAGAGAAGATTTGGAGTATGGTGTCATCCAAATTTTCTTCAGAATATCAACCGATGCAATCACATCTACACCTGTCAAATAACAACATTGGCCTCCTCAAATATATCTGTCAAGTAACCAAAATTTTAAATTTTGGAAAACAAAAAAAAGAAAAGAATACCGGTTTCGGGCAAGCGGGGAGCAGAAGTAGAAGTTGGAGACGACACAATCTCCATCGGGTCGGCGCATAGCAGGGCGTCTTTGAAGGAGGTCGGCTTGAAACTCTCCATCGGTGTGAAACTTAGAATTTCCTGCTGCTTTCAAAGGTTAATTCCTGAAACAAAGAAGACAGAGATAACATCAGTTTATTATGGATTTGTGGTAAAGAAGGCCAATGTTTCAGTTCTCAAGCTTACCAGGAGGATC